AATATTTTATTTATTATTTTTATTTTATGTGTATTAGTGTATTGCCTATATGTAAATGAGTGCACCCGTGTTGTGCAATGCCGTGGAGGTCAGAAGAGGGCTTCAGATTCCCCTGGAACTGGAGTTGAGGCCGTTTGAGGCCAGTTCGTAGCCACCATGTGGGTGCTGGCAATCAAACCCGGGTCCTCTGTAAGAGCAGTCAGTGCTCTTAACTGCTGAGCCATCTCTCCAGCCCCATGACTGCTATGATTACAGACACGTATCATTATGCTCACACATATTTTATTAATAATAATATATTTACATATATACACACATATATATATAGAGACAGAGAGAAAGAGAAAGAGAGTATGATGTGATCAATGTGATTTTTTTAAAGACAGGATGGAGTAGCTACATGGCAGAGATAAGAGAGACACAAGATGGAAGGAGAGAACCAACTCATCACAAGAGTTGTCCTCTGACCTCCATATCCATGCCATGACACGTGTGTACACACACACACACACACACACACATACACATACACAACACACACACATCTCACATACACATACTACCAGTAATTTTTTTTGTCTTTGAGACAGGGTCTCCCTGTAGCCCCAGCTGGCCTGGAACTCACTATGTAGAGCAGGCTGCCCTTGAACCCACAGAGATCTGCCTCCTCTGCCTCCTGAGTGCTGGGACTAAAGGCATGTGCCACCATGCTTGGCTATTATAAGTTTTTAAAAAGCATTAAACATACATAGTTAGTCCTCTAAGCAATGACCTCCATTTCCAATGGTCCTCTACCAATTCACATCCTACTGCTAGATTGGCCTACCTAAAGTAGAGTTTTGGAACTGCAGCTGGTGCTTCACCTCTCTAGGCCTTGAAACCCTTGTATTAGTTACTTGATGTTGTGATCAAATATCTGCCAGAAATAGCTTGAGGAAGGAAGAATTTATTTTGGCTCACAATTCTGGGATACAATCCATCATGGTGAGGAAGGCTTGGTAGCAGGAGCTTGAGGCAATTGATCACTCTGTGTCCACAGAAGGAGAGAAAGAGAGAGAAAGAGTGGCACTCAGCTCACTTCCTCCATTTTGTTCAGCCCAAGATGCCAGCCCATGGAACAGTACCATCCACATTCAGACTGGGTCTTCTTACTTTGATTAGCACAAACTAGAAACTCCTTTACAGACATGCACAGAGATTTGTTTCCATGGTGATTCTCAAATGTATCAAGTTTTGACAACTAAGATTAACTATCACACTAATCAAGTATAAATAAGGAGAACATTTACTTCCCAAATCTCTTTATCTTTGGTCTCCTATGACTCTCAAAGGCTATCAATAAAACTTGTGGCAAGGTTATTGGTTTCAGTTTAGTTTCACTTTTAAGTAGAAAAATGTCATCCAGGACCTTTAGGAAGAGAGGTAGGTGCATCTGAAAGATAAATGAATAAAAATTGCAATGAACAAAAGCCAGTTTAAAGTAACTGATACTGGTGTGATGGTGCATGCCTTTAATAAGAGGACCTGGGAGGCAGAGGCAGGTGGAGCTCTGTGAGATCAAGGCCAGCCTGGTCTATATAGCATGTTCCAAGCCAGCTGGGGCTACAGGGAGACCCTGTCTCAAAAAGCTAAGTAAATAAATAAAGTAACTGATATCCCTCTCAAATGACTAGTAAAACTTGGTTTAAACAGCAAGATTGTCACCTGCCACATCTTACTAGGCAATAGTCCCAAATACCCATAGTACCTGGAGAACTGATCTTTGGCTTCCCCTATAAGTGCTACAGAGTGCTAATTTTGCTCTTAAATCCTGAGAAGAAAGTAAAATTATGCTTGGTGTATTTATTCAGGTGGTTTATGCATTCTACTAGTGTGACCGCTCGTGTGTCTGGCTCTCTGATCCATTTGTCATAATGATATGCCAGAATATGCTTGCTGTTCTTTGGGTCTGTGGTTCTGTTTAGGGTGGGTGAGTGAAGTCTCGCCTCTAGATAAGACTGAGGCCTTCACACTCACCTGTTTTATAAGTTAAAAAAAATTCTTTCATGTCCGAGGCCAAGTATTTCCTTTGACCAGCTTTGCTATGGCTCACATTTTCTCTGTGATCCATGGTGACCTTTCCAGATTGCAGGGGATAAGAAAAGGCAATAGGTCTTGGCAGAGGGCTGAGGAGATGGCTCAGAGAGTAAGAGCACTAGCTCTGAAAGCATGAGAACCTGAGTTCAGATACCCAACACCCACTTGAAAGGCTAGACATGGCTGCACATGTCTGTAACCCCCAAAGAGGTGGGTCAGAGGAGAGCAGAGACAGGTGGATCCCTGAGAGCTTCCTAGCCAGCCAGTCAACCTAGTCCAAATGGTAAACCCCCAGTCCAGGGAGAGCCCCTGTCTCAGATCAGTAATGCAGACAATGATAGAGGAAGATACCTAGTGTCTTACTGTGGCCTTTGCATACACTGCCCTATGTACAAAGCAACACACACACACATGCATGCACACACACACAAATAAGACAGGCAGGAGGTTTTACATGGGAAATCCCATTATATAACCCTCTAAAGATTGGACTGATCTTGGACAAATACCTTCATTCATGAGACTTCAGTTTCCTCATAAAATGGGCATAATAGCAGTGCCTACCTCCTCATCAGTGTTGTAAGTTGAGCATGGTAGCACATGCCTGCAATCCCAGTACTCAGAAGGCTGAGGCAGGAGGATCAGGAGGAATTGAAGGTCAGCCTGGGATAGACAGCAAGATCCTGTCTTAAAAAGGAAAAACAACAGAGTGCTGTGATAATGAAATGAGTTTATACATATCAGATACTCATAAAATCAGTCATTGGCTTATAACATGCAGTAAATGCTGGAAGCTGGAGAGATGGCTCAGCAGTTAAGATCACTGACTGCTCTTGCAGAGGACCCAGGTTCAGTTTTCAGCACCCACATGGTGGCTAACAACCATCCATAACTCCAGTTCCAGGGGATCCAACACCCTCTTCTGTCCTTCGTTGGCATTGTACAATATGGGCACACTTACATACATGTAGGCAATACACTCATGCACATTAAATAAAAATAATAAATAAGGGGCTGGAGAGATGGCTCAGCGGTTAAGAACACTGGTTGTTCTTGCAGAAGACCTGGGTTCAAATCCAAGCACCCACATGGCAGCTAACAACTGTCCATAACTCCAGTCCTAGGGGATCTGACAGCCTCTTCTGACCTCCATGGGCATTGCACGATACAGTGCACTTACCTACATGCAGGCAATACACGCATGCACATAAAATAAAATAAAAATAATAATAAATAAAATTTTAAAATAAATAAACAGACCACATGCAATAACTATAGGGTTCTTTTAAACAAAATGATTGGTTAAGCAGAATGCATTGTTCCTTGACCATTCCAGGAACAGAGAGAGATTCAGAGAATGATCTACAGCATGGTGCTCTTTGGTCCCACCATGGCTGCTCATGGCAGGAATGTCTCCCAATGCCCTAGGATCCTGCAGGCTTGCAGTCATGCACATTCTCACCTACCCTGACCTTGACTGGGCTGGGGATTGCTCACTGCTGAAGAGGTTTTCTCTAACCTCCCTGTGCTTCTCTGCCAGCTGCATGAGAAGTTTGACCGTTTGAAGAAACTGCACCAGGAAGAGAAGAAGAAGCTGGAGGATAAGAAGAAAACCCTGGATGATGAAATAAACACTTTCAAACAGAGAAAGACGGCAGCTGAACTTCTCCAGTCTCAGGGTTCGCAGGCTGGGGGCTCACAGACTCTGAAAAGGGACAAAGAGAAGAAGAAGTAAGTACCAGGCTATGGGGTGGGGGTATGGTTTCTTACCTCTCCTGCTCATTCCCTCTCCCTACCTCCATCTGGCAGGACCTAAAGGCCAAGAGGGCTGGGGGTTGATGAGCAGAAGTGAACTGCAGGCTGGCTGTTAGGCTCATTTGGTGTTCACTGTCTCTGTGGCACCTTTGGGTTCCCTGAGTTTGAGTCACTGAGAGGAAAGAGAGGAGTGATTCCAGAAGCCCAGCTTCTCTGTTTGACCCATTTGGGAAGGCTCTGCAACCTCAAAGCAGATGATAAGGGAAGAGAAACTAGAAAGGATGAGATAGAAAGCTGTAGAATAAGGAGGGGAACAAAAGGATGGGTCACTAAGGCTAGTGAAAGAAAGAAAGGACCTTAGCAGAACCTCTAGGCACCTCCCTGGTCCCCAGAGGTTCCAGCCCATGTAGCTGGTCGGCTTGCTGGTCCCACATCTGAGGAGCCTGTATCCCAACCTTCAGCCTGTCCCAGTTCTTGACTGCCCCCCTTGGAAGGAAACCACTACCACTGAAGGCTGCAGGCTGTCTCCCATCTCCTATTCTTTTACTATACCCCTTTGCTGCTGGTTGCTTAGTTGTGCCCAGCCTGGGGTACCAAGAACTTAGTGTGGAGTCTCCAGATGCCAGTGCCCTCTGCATGGCCCATTTTCAAGCTTGGAGAATGATTCTAAAACCATTTTGTTTCTCCTAGTATTTGGTGAGTCGATAGTCCTGACCCCCACCCCAGTCTCTGCTTGCTGAAGTTACCCATTCCTCATCTCAGAGCCAGAGAAGAGGAAAGCATTTCCAGCAAGGAAACATCTACAGGTTCCCTTGTGCTCTGTAGTTGGTATGCTATGCCTCCACGAGCTCCCAGATGGGGTGTTTAACAATGTCCATACTAAAAGATCCTTAGGATTCCAAAGATTACCATAGTCTTTACCTTCTGTTTTGGCCAGTAGTTTCTGGAATCAACAAATAGATACTTGCCAGAAAGATAAAGCATCTTCCTCACCTCTGTGCCTGGTTTGTCACTTATGAATAACACCATGAGTATGAAATATTTTACATTTTGAGGCACTGAATTTTGCAATCTGATTATCCGCACTTGACTACCTAATGTGTCATTTGAACATTTTCACCAACACGATCCAGAGATTTTTCTTTTCTCTTTTCTTTTTTTTTTATGAGACAGGGTCTTCCTGTAGCCCCAGCTGGCCTGGAACTCACTATGTAGACCAGGCCTTGAACTCACAGAGATCCACCTGCCTCTGCCTCTGCCTCCCGAGTGCTGGAATTAAAAGCGTGAGCCACCACTCCCCGACTATCCAGAGATTTTTCAAACCTGACTCTTAAAACTTTATATTAAATTCACTGATTAACTTCTTTGGTATTAAGGCTCAATTGGCCAGATGGAAAATCTCTATGGAGGCACTGTATATTAACTTATCAGTCATGGTGTATTAGTTGTACCAACAGGAATGGATTTCTAGTTTCCTTTTATTTATTTATTTGTCATTCTTTCTTTCCAGTAGTAGGGATGGACCCCAGTGCTCTGCACATATTAAGTAAGTGCTCTACTGCTGAGCTTTATCCACAGCCCTGGATTCCTATTTTAAAGATCAAAAAATACTAAATTTATCTTTCAGCTATAACCTGCTGCCTTCATAGCCCTGCGATTTTTTGCTAACTCATTCCCTAGAATTGCAAAAATTGAGAGATTACCTGATTTGTTCAGACTGTACTGATGCTATAAATAATTCCCTATTCAAGATGCTCAGTGAAAACTCCTCTCAGACCAGACTTTCCCCCAGACTCATTGACTTTCTCCCACCCCAGGCAGAAGACCCGGTATAGGGAGATAACTTTCCCCAGTCTCCAGAAGTAGTCGAAACTGGTGACAGTACCCTTTTCCATTTCTGAGACGGGTGAAAGCCTTGCTGGAATATGGCACCTTAGACTAGTAGGGCCAGCACAGTAACCTGTCCTCCTTCATATTCCCAGATGTGTGAGTGGCTCCAAATCTGGACTCCTTATATATTTCCACAAGCAATTGGCTAGCTTCTGGAAGACACACCATTGGACTTGTGCTACTCTGTTTTCATAGTGCTGTTGCTGGTGGTGGGTTTTGAGAGTAGAAATGGTGGTGGTCATATTTCTTCCAGACAGATGGTGATTGGATCTGATTAAGTCCCATATCCAGAAGTTCCTCAAACTATCGTTAAGGACATTAAGAAAGAATACTGGTGTTTCAGGGGTCCCTACCAAGCCACCCTTCCCACTTCCTTTCCCTGCTACTCCTAATCTCCTTTGACCTCTAACACTTCATCATTTGTATCAATTCTTAATATTGGATTTCTCCTCATTCTCGCTCCATCTTCATCAGCTCTTACTGTTTTACAGTTAATTCTGCTGTTTGCTGCATGCTGCATGAGATCCAGGGTCCTGGTAAGCTTTATTAACTCTAAATAGAACTGGCAGTGGCTTCTAGAACATATCTTCCCAAACCCCACACCTCACACATATCTAACCATAAAAGAAAATGCTTCATTGGGCCAGCTGGTTTCCTCACGTGACTTACAGTTTGAAGAAGTAGCCTGGTGTGGTTTTAAGTGCACAGTACATGTGGAATGCTTGCCTGATTAAAGAAGGAGACTTTGCAGACCTTTGTTGCTTGAACAGCAGGGTAGCACAGGTAGATCATGAGACCAATATGTAAGTTTTCAATTTGGGCATTTTTTTCTTAAAGAGCTATAATCCTGACTTTTAAAATGAATTGTGATGAGATGCAGGAAGTTGCTGAGTTCACAAGCCCTGCCTACAATGTCACAGTCAATACTGAGTCACCCCCCGACCACCACCACATTTGGGAATGTACAATGAGAAATTGTTTCTCTGCTTCCCTCTAGTAACTGTTTCTTATCTGAGGGATTCACATTCTCCAATTTCTTTCAGTTGTACCCCCTCAAACCATAATCAAAGTGGAAGAAAATTAAGAGAACTCAGATACGGTAGGGAATCTGTACATTTAATTCTACAAGTAAGGACTAGCAAGATGGATCAGTGGGTAAAGGCACCTGCTCTTTAAGCCTAGTGGCTATAAAGGTGGAAAAAGAGAACCAACTCCAAAAGTTGTCCTCCAGCCTCACACCCACCATGGCACGTGCACCCACACATAGTAATAATAAATGAATTTTAAAGTTTTTAATTCTATAAGCATAAGCTTCATGAAAACCTCTGCTAAGGAGGTAAGTAGGCAATTCTTGATAAGGATTCCCGAGGGCTAGGGATTGTGTCTACAGAAGCAAATAAAACAGTCCCTGGCATCACATAGCTTTTAAGGAGAGTGAAAGCTGTCATTATAGGAAGATTGAAAGCCATGGTTAAACACCTTTTGTCTACTCTGCCAGACTCAGGTAGTGGAGGGAAACAGAATATGAATATTTTTAACAACACAGATTCATTTATTATTTTTTAAACTTTACCGTGGAAACTTTCAACTGTGGAAAAGAGAAGAAGAAAAATGTACAATGCAGACCCATGACCCCAGAATCCAACCACCAAATAATCATTACCATATGGCTAATCCTGCTTCCTCAACTACCCCAGACATGCTGGATTATTGTAGGGCAAAAGCCATATCATTTTATCTGCAAAATACATAGTATATATTCTAAAAGATGATGACCTTTAAGAAACACACACAGCCATCATTATCACACCTACCAAATTAATAATCATTTGCTAACATAAAATGTCTAGTCGGTATTGGAGGTAGGTACTCCAGTGGTAGCATAAATGCCTTTTAAACTTTTAGTTGTTTGTGTAGGGTACTAGGCAGTATTGAGAAGATTTCTCCCTGCATGTCTCCCTGCTCAGCCATGCAGTTCATGATTTAGTTGAAGAGCCTGCTGTTAGTCACCAAACTGATGGCTGCAGCTATTGCAGTAGAGACTCTGGGCATCTGGCAAAACACTCTCCTTTCAAGCAAATCTTGAGGAGGAAGTCCATCAAGGCTTCTGAAACATAAAGCCCAGGAAACTGAGCCAAACAAATTCATCCTAAAAGAACAATAGAATGATCTACTGCCTGGCTTAAAAGCAAGTCCTGTTAGAGCCCTGGCATCAAACCGTGGTTTTCCTTTTAGGAAGACTAAATTCCTAGAGTCACCGTTCTCTGCTGTCAACTCGCTGCCTAGCAAAGCATCTGTACATAGTAGGAGCCTTACTCATATGGAGTTTTTTTGTTCCACCATTTTCAATGAGGAGAACAGGAAAAATGTATCCTGAATTCCATTTCAGTTCACTCAGATTTCATTGCACGTGGCTTGACATGATTTCATTCGGGTTTACCCTAGTATGTCATTGTTAGTGACTGTTGCTAAAATGAATACTGGAAAATCTGTGATTAAAGCCATGCCTTACAAGTAAGAGACAATTGATAGAGCTGCAACAGGTAACTCCAAACCCAAGTAGGTTGACCTTTCCTGGCAAGCTTCTCTGTAGATCACAAAAGCAATTCTAGATGAGCCAGTCTGGGAGGGCCTTAGCTACCTAGGATCTGAAAGCAGCAAAGGGAACATGCCTCCTTCCCAAAGCCCTCATTTGGGTGGTTGATCAGCAAAGCCACCTGGCATGTAGGCTGAGTAAATGCCTCCTCTCCAGCTCTGACATAATAGGAAAGAGACACCCAGACACTATTTGCAGCCCTGTAATTATAAGAAAAATTCTAGATACTAAGTCTCATTGGTTATTGGTCCTTGGGGTGCATGGTATATGAACCATGTGCCCATATTGACATATCTACCTTCCCATGAAGCCCAGAACATAGGCCACTGCAGTGTTTGAGGGTGGGGGTTACTCTTCCCCTAGGAAGTAGACAAAATAAAGAGGCAAAAACACTCATATAGCATGTACTGCTTTTCAAAGTGTTTTTCCAACATGATATCTCATCCTTATCAGAGCTCTGAGAAGCAGAGAAGGAAAGAATGTGAGAGACTAGTAAGGATCGCAGAGTGTGTTAGTGGCAAAATAGGAACAAGAAGGCTGAAGTTCTAGTTCCTGGAATAAACGCTGTTTACTTGAGGGCGTGTATGTGCTTCCCCCCAGACAGTTTTATGTATGTATGTGGGGGCGCAGGTGTATTTATTCATTTCAAAAATTTGATTGCATAGGCTCATATATGCATATACTTCTAACTTTACTCCCCCAAAGAGCCCTTATTTAAGGGGATAAATACTGTGTTGGGTTTTGTACCACAAATACCTAAGAAAATCAAATTAAGGGAGAAAAGATTTATTTGTGGTCATCATGTCAGAAGTTTCAGTTCATGGTCACTTGGTTGCATTGATGTAGCTAGTCTAGGTCCTGACAAAGCATCATAGTGGAGGGGATGCAGTGGAGCAGAGCTGCTCACTTCATGTCAGCCAGGAAGCAGAAAGAAAAGAAGAGGGACAAGATATATCTTTAGAAGGCCTGCCTCTAGTGAGTTACTTCTTCCAACTCAGTGTGACAGAAGAGTCTTGAATAGATATCTCTGATCCTGGATGTAATGATACTTTCTTTGTGACCACAGGAAAGTCAGTTGCAACACTTGTGTTTCAGTCTCTTCATATGTGACATGGGGATCAACACGACTTCACCTATTTATGTCATAGAAATTATTCCAATGGGGGAAAGACAGGTCAAACTGTTGTATGAACACAATGATTGGCTTTTGTAGCTCAAGTTTTCAGGTCAAGGTGGTTGGAACTCCCTACCACCCACTTGGCAAACAGGTATTGGCTAAGGTACCATTTAGCTAACTAGGCTTGCTCCAAAGGATACCTGAGTTGAAGCCTCAGCTTCTTCTGCTCTCCCTATGGGACAAGGGGCTGAAAACCTGGTGCTGTTCTGGTGGCCTAAGGCCATTGGAGACTTGGTATTCTGAGTTTGTTGGCGGGGGGTGTCATTCATTAAGACCAAATTTGAAAAAGTATTTGAGTGGGTTTTGATCATTGTTTTGCTTTCTAATACCACTACTGCTACCGTCATGGGTTCATGTATGTGAGAAAGCATGTTCCGAGGAGCCAGTGCAGTAAGAGTTTAAGAACATCTAACAGCTGTATTCTAATTTACCCATTAGTCATCATGACTTAATTTTCTTCTTTTTTTGGTCCATCCATTCATTAACCCCAGCCCCCTTCTCTTTTTCATTTTCAGTTTGGGCTTCCTGTAGACGCGCCCTTTCCTGAGCAACAGAGCTGGGCCTCCCTCTCTTTATTTCCCACTTAACATGTCTGGGGGGCATACAACCTATGCCCTCCTCTCTTCCTGTGAATGTTTATAGAAGCCTGAGGGTCAGAGGATGATGTCTGGTCTCTGACCAAGAAGCCAGCAATCACAAGGCTTGGAGATGCATCCCATATCTCAGTCCCTGTCCAAGTACCCCTAGCTACCTGTGCCCCCACACTCCCCCATATCCATCCCTTGCTGGTCTAACATGTTCAGCAGTTGCTATCTTCTACTTTTGATGCACCAGCTTCCCCACATGAACTTTGATTACTGCTTGCTTTCCTAAGGTATTTCCATCTACCATGGCTGGATAAGCACCAGTTAGCACACAGAGCTGTCCAGTTAGTCTCCTGCAGCCTAGTCACTGAGCTTGCCTGCCCCTCCTCTAATCCTAGGAGATACAGCCCTTTCTCAGAGGCTCCAAAAGAAGGTCCTGTGATACCTTTTCCTTCTAGCCTCTTAGCCTAGCTCTTTCTGGTTTTCATTCACTCAAAGTCACCTTACTCAAGCTGTGTTAAAAGTCAGCCATGAATTTATTTACTAAAAGTCCTTCCTATAAAACGAAATTGCTGGAGCAAATAGCATAAATTTCCCCTCCATATAACTCTGGGTACCCCAGAGATACAGAGAATAATTTAGAATGTTATTACCATTCTAGAGTCTTGAATGATAGACTCACAGAATTCTCCTGAGGGATTTCAGCATTGCCTGGTCATTTGCTTGAGGGCTCTCATCATCCCAATAAGGTAGAACCAATAGCAGGAATAATAATCTCATTTGTAAACTGGCAAGCTGATCAAAGAAGCTTGGGCTTGGGTTTGATTGGATGAGTCTTCTAGTCTACTTAGTGAGTATAGTGATTTGAATCTGCATTTTGTACACATGCCATTAAAAAGAGGGAAAGACCATCAGCTGGAGGGAAGAAAGGAGACATTGTCCCTTGAAAGCTCTTTATCTTTAGTCTAAGGATTTGATATTTTTAACACATCCTAGTCCTAAGTTTTATAATGGGTCCCACCTGATTGTGACTTTTGGAGCCCCTCTGAAGTACAGAGCCTTATGCTGTCAAGGCCATGAGGCCTTGGTGTTTGGCTAGTGACAGAGTGACAGCTAGAGGCGACCTGGCAATGATTTGTGGCTAATATGGCGTCTCTCTGCCCTTCCTTTGCAGTAATCCATGGCTGTGTACTGAATAGTATGCCCCGCTACAGCTGGACTGGACTCCACTTAGCCTTTTAAACGAAGGTTCCTATTTTAACTGACAACTTTTCTTTCTGGTGCTTGGCAGCTGGGCCCTCCACCCCCTGCTGTGGTACCTCAAGCCTCACCTTTTTTTTTTTTTTTTGAGTTCTGCAACTTGTTCCTGCCTCCCAGCCCCACTGGTACAGACCATGACCTTCTTCCTTTTCATTTTTTGATTTTTAAAGACAGGGTCTCACTATGTTGCCCCAGCTGGCCTGGAACTCGCTATGTAGACCATTCCAGGCTGGCCTCAATCTCACAGTGATCGACCTGCCTCTGCCTCCTGAGTGCTGGGATTAAAGGTATGCACCACAATGCCCAGTTCCTTTTCATGTTTTCAGGGTGATTTTATAATCACTTCCTTTAAAACACACAAGGCAATGCCAAACTTTGCAGGCCTTCTGAAGTGGTGTTAAAAAAGTGGGTTATTCTGGACAATTATAGTTAATACTAGGAAACAAAAAGTAGGAATAGCTAAAGACAAGCATGTAAATGCATGCATTTTCTCTTTTCTTGTTTGCAAAGTGAGAAGAAATTTTGATATGTATTGGTTGGTGGCCAGAGGCAAGTATAGGGCGACGATGGGAAAGCATAAGTTAGATTCTTGGGAAAAAATTCAAGTCGAAGTGAAGCATTTTTAGGAGATCCTTTGCCTGGAAATAAAACCAAGCAAGATCACCAAGAACAGGAAGATGAAAGCAGAATCCTCAAATCCCCTCAGATACACCACCAGTTGGTAAGAGAGACAGGCTGCTGAGTTAGAGCTGTCTGGGTCTCCTTGAGAGAGGCCCCTTATTTACAGCCTTGGGTTTTTAAAATCCACCTTCCCAGACTGCCAACTAGTAATAACCATCCCCCTGAAGAAGTATGTGCCTTATAAGCAGGAGGCCTCTCATTTATATTTGTATATAGATTTGCTACTAGAGGCTTGCGGATCTCAAACTACTTCACAAGTATTTGAGCCACACAACCTTCTGAAAGCAAGCAGAACTGTATATAGAAGAGAGCTTTTTTGGTCAGTGTGACAGAAATAACTTCCTGTTCTGTAGGAGTAAATCGAAGCCCAGAGAACTGAAGGGACTTGTCTAAGGTCCCACTGCTATTTCTTGGCAAAACCCAACCCAAGCTATGTTTTATATCTCCTGTTCTCAATCCATCTCATCAAGGGATCCAATTATTTACATGTTCCTGGAGACAAGGTTTTTTTTTTTTTTTGTTTGTTTTGTTTTTTTTTTGATGTTCAAAGAAACCAGTCAGTGTTAGAGGAGTCTTGAGGGTTTTCACATGGAAAAACACCCCAGGATGGGATGGGTAGAAGAAGGCAAAGTGACAGCTCCAGACCATATGCCATGGCACCTACCAGATAGTTTTCCTATAAGTCTGGACCAGGACCAGGGCAGTGTACATTTCACTAGTACCCCGTGTGGATCCTTGTAATGAAGGAAGTTTGATAGATATAAAAGGCAATTGAACCTATTACAATAATTCAGATACTTACTGAGCAGCTTTTCTCACTGTAGACAGAAAGGTTTTTGATTTTGTTCACTGAAAAAGGTATGTTTTTAAATTTTCGGGGGGGTTGTGGTTTTTGTTTTTGTTTTTTTGTTGTTTTTGAGGCAGGGTCTCACTATGTAGTTCTGACTGTGCCAGAAATAACCAGGTAGAACAGACTAGTCTGGAACGTATAGAGATCCGCCTGCCTCTGCCTCCCAAGTGCTGGGATTAAAGGTGAGCACCACCATGCCAGGCCTGAAAAGGCTTTTTAATTCGTATAGTTGTTGATATATTTTTTTAATGGCTTAAGTTTTCTCTTTACTTCTGGTGAAACAAAACCAGTCATTAGAAATGGTCTGTGCTTTTATTTTCCCAGACTGGAATGGAATAGCTTTCCTGAACACACAAATACACATATACCCGTCATTTCTCTTAAGCCAAGAAGTCTGCTTGCCCCACCTACAGTTTGGATCTTTTTTTTTTCTTCCAGTTTTTGTTTTAATCGTTTGGCATTCACATGTGGCTGTTAATATGTGCTTACTTTTAATTAAAGCAAGAAGCATTAAACTGGTGTGTGGTATTCTTCAAACGTCTTCCGCAGATTTCCCCATGATGACGGCCTATCAGTGACCTGTTCCTGTCTTCTCAGTGTATAATCTATGCTACCTTACACTGCCCACTCCCATCACATCTTACTTTGAATGTCCTTTCTCTTTGGCTAATTTCATGTTTTCTTTCTCTTTCTCTCTCCCTCTCCAGCTTTTTTTAACCTTGTCTTCAGCAGCTGCACTAAGTCTAAAGGAGAAGACTGCCATTATAGAAGAGTTAGGGTTCCATACTGTCTCAAACAAGAAATCAACCATTTCCCTCTCCCCCGCAACTGCGCACACATACACCACACTCAACAAGAGTACATGTGTCCCTGTGTCCAGGCAAGAAGCTCTCTTCTGATTTACATGGTATTTTAAATGGAAGTGTCTTGTCCTAAACTTAACAAGGCAGGAAAAGAACCATCAGAGCTGGAAATGGACCAAATGTAACCTCAGAGAGGCCACTCACAGGACTACTCACCCAAGTGTTAAGTGACTGGGGCGGGAGACCTCAGCTGTGGGTGTGGAAGTGGTGTTCACGAGGTTTTGAGTTTCATGTTTTTCTTTTAAAACAATTCTCTGGTTCAATGGGTTGACTCTCTTCGGCCACTATTATACTATTTCTGAAGATGGAAGAAAAAGTTGAGTGACACATCTTCAGCATTCACAGACCTTCTGCAGACCCCAGTAAGGGGGAGAAATGGATCAATTAACATTCACGTGGAAAAAGATGTGAGGGGTTTTAAGCTTAATAAGAGCAGAATTTCTCCAAACTTCCAAGGGCATTTGGGGGAGGAGGGTTGTGAGAAGTTTCTGCTCAACTTCGAATCTGGAGGGAGAGCTTTGGTGTTGGTAAATCTGCCTTGAGTTCATTGGCTTTACTTACACCTGAATACCATGTGAATGGACTCATCTCCATATATCCCTGCCGCCAACGCCACCATTCTGCTGACGTGTCTCCTGAGAGAGCCTCTTTGCATGTTTTCCAGAATCTGTGTTTGTTTATCCTTTCTTCTGCATTATTCTTTTTTGCTCAAAGGTGTGACTGGTCACTGCCCCCTGGGGCTTTCATTTTCCATGAGATACATCCCAGAACCAGCACTGTTTAGCTTGATATCTTTCTAATGTCCATGTCAATTTTCAATAAAATTCAAAGAAATGCTCAATGACTATGTGATCTGATCCTATCATTAGGCAACGAGGCTCTCCATGTTTTACTTTAGGACTGAGTGGCTGCCTCCTAAGTAGGTAATTTGAGGGACTTGGGGAGATGCCATGAGCCCACTAAGACTTCCTCAGTGGACTGCCATGCCCCTGTTTTCCTCTTGGCCTCTGAAATTCCTACTGAGACAGGGCGGGTGTGAGTGGGAAGTTCTCTACTTTTAGTTTAATTAGGATTGGTTGAACTAGTCAGTTTAGCTGAGCATCAACCAGGATGATACCTGCAGCGAGGAAACAGTGGGGGCGCCCCATAGAACAAGATTCAGGTGAGTTTTAATTTAGGAAGGGAAACAGCTTCACACAGCTTCTCTCATATATTCCTGTGATGTGAACATTCCCCAAATTTTGTGGGTTGAAAGGCATTCTGTAGATACTAAGTAGAATATTGTGTCTATCAGAGAGGGGAAGGGGGAGGGGGAGAGAGAGGGAGAAGAGGAGCGAGACAGACAAAGAGACAGGCTTTCATTTTCCCAAGTTTTAATGTAGGAAAGAGGAAGTGTGGTCAGTTTTGAGAATTCTGTTTGCAAGCGAGGTGGGGCTATCTTCTCTCAGCTTCATTTCCCTAATAGTCAGATGCTGAAGAAAGGACCAGTGAGTGGTTTGCATCTTCTGTATTTGAAAGCTGGGTACCACAACAAACATCTTTCCACTTACCTCTATGAAGCTCACACACTAGGGGGCAGACGAGTGAGGCCATAATCGCTTATGACGTCGCTGAGCAGTGGCTGATCTCTGAGGTGGTATGGAAAAATACTGAGCCCTGAGTCAGGCGGGCTCTCGGGAAAGCTCTGCTAAGAAAACCAAAGACTGGTCAGTGAGATGGTAAGGCGCTTGCCACCAAGCCCAACGACCTGCGTTCGATCAGCACTTTCTTCTGATCTTCCCAGAGCACACTTATGTAGGCAAAACAGTCATACATATAAAATTAATGTTTTAATTTTATTTTTTATGTGTATGAGTGTTATGACTGCATGTGTGTAAGTGCACTCATGTCGTGCAATGCCCAAGGAGGTCAGAAACTGGAGTTACAGGCGGTTGTTAGCCACCATGTGGGCGCTAGGATTCGAATCCCCGTCTTCTGCAAGAACAGCCAGTGCTCTTAACCAGTGAGCCATCTCTCCAGCCCCACATAAAAAGTTTTGGTGTTTTTTTTTTTTAAGTTGAAGAAGGTAATGGGTCAAAAGCCACCCTATCCAGTAGTCCTGATACCAGTGGGCCAGCTAAATCTATGCAGGATTAATTTTTATCACCGAGATTGTAATCTATATAATGATCTGCCATTTGCTGCCCCAAACTATATTTAACTACGGTCTTTGGGCTCCATCGTATTTATTATTATTACTTTATGTGTATGCGTGTATTGCCTGAATGTAGGTAAGTGCACCCGTGTAGTGTAATGCCTGCGGAGGACAGAAGAGGTTGTCAGATCCCCTGGAACTGGAGTTAAGGACAGTTGTCAGCTGCCATGTGGGTGCTGGGATTCGAACCCGGGTCTTCTCTAAGAACAGCCAGTGTTCTTAACCGCTGAGCCATCTCTCCAGCCCCACTCCTTCGTTATTTGTACATTTAAAATTGAAATATGAGGGCATGGTGGTGCATTCTGTAACCCCAGCACTTGGGGGGTGCAGGCAGGATAGAAGTTCAAGGTCACCCTTGACTACATACCGAGTCTGAAGCCAGCCTGGGCTTGTCAAAAAACAAAATCATAAATAAACTGATACAACACAGGATTGCTTGCAATCATGATCAGAAAAGTGTGTAACAAGTGAACTACAGATAAAAGGATTGGCTTGAGAAGTGACGCTGTTATTTTCTTTGCAACATCTCATTTTTTTATTACGCTCTCACAATCAGCCCCAAAGCTGATGATGAACACCACAATGAATTTTTAAGCTCTGTCCTCTCTGTAGAAAGAGGCATCTCAGAGAGCTGCCATGCAAAACATGTCAAATCCATCGCAAACCTAAATTTCTCCCAAAGGACACAGCGTCAGTGTTGCAGGGCTTAGAAACACTCAGGGAAGAGCGTCAGGCCAGCCACCGCTGCTATCTAATCACCTAAGGGGACCTTCTAGGGACTTAGCGGAATCGTCATGTTCTGGAACCTCAAAGAACCTTCAAACATTGCCATCCCAGAGTCCCCACCCTCCGCTTGTCACCAGAGTGCGTCAGTCCCAGGCTTGTGTATTCGTCAGAGGAAGGGAAAAAGAACCCATCGCGCGAGATTTGGTGGCGGGATTTGGAAGTTAGCGACTGGTTCTGACGCATGCGCATTGGCTCACGAGCGCGGTGCTGCACGCGGGGAGGTAGGCTGAGCGCCAAGAGGGGGAGTCGAGCGTGCCTGTCCTTGTTATTTTTCTTTCCCGGCCCTCGCGCAGTGCGTGGGCCTGCGGGTCCGAGGAGGCGCTGAGCGACGGGGTGCGATTAGGCCTGCGCGGGCGCGCGGTGCATGAGGACGCGGTCTCGCTCCTCACGAGGTGGAGCGGTGCAGCCAGCGTGCGCCCCGGCGTGGCGACAGGGGCTGGTGCTCCCCGTTTCCCTTTGATCGTGGCCCCTCAGGCACTCTCTCGGATCCCCCTGAGGGTCGGCCTTGCATCTCGGCGCTCCCCTCCTCGCCCGGCCCCTCCCACCGGCCTGGATCCCTGTCGCCTAGCTCGCTTGCCATTGATCAGTGAGCCCGCTTCATCCTACGGGTGGGGGCGGGGGCTCCCCGCTCGCAGGCGGAGAAGATGGCTGGAGGACGTCTGCTGTTGGGGGGCGACTTCCTGTCGCCGCCGCCGTTGCCCCCCCTGCCGCCACCGCCGCTGCCGCCCCTCCCGCCGCCCCCGCCTGAACCAGTTCTGGAGCAGTGGCGCTATAGCCACGAAAGTGACTGGCATTGGGCTCTGCGGCGGAGCTTCATCTGTCGGCACCTGCACAGCTATCCCGGGGCTGCCCTGGACCAACTCCTTGCGCTCTCCGCTGCCTGGACCAACCACGTTTTCTTGGGCTGCAGGTGAGGATGGTGTTAGGTCAGGTTATGGAGGAGCGTGGGAGGTGGGTGATGGGGGTGGGATGAGGGTGAGGGACCCAGGATGGAGGTGGGGTTCTACGGATGGCTTTGGGGACGGAGGGGGTCAGTGATGGTGATTCAAAGAGGGACAGGGATGGGATGCGGTTGATGGCTTGGAGGCTGGAGATTTGAAGAAGCTAGAGGACTTGGGGAGGCTTGACTAGTGGTTTGGGGGTGGAGTGGCCGACAGTGGTGGTAGGCAATGACATGACAGCCCAGGAGGGCACAAAAATGTCCCTTCAGGACCAGGAATGGAGATAAAGCAGCTCCTGGAAGAGGATTATTGAGAGGTAGTCAGTTGTGGTTGGTGATGGTATTGGAAGGTGTGTGGGAAATGATAAATAGCAGAGCCTCAAACCTGCGTAGGGTCTTCCAAGGATGCGATATCTGCAGAGAATGTTAGACGGAGCTGCGGGGGAGGATAAGTGACTCCGCGGTACTAATCCTAGTCTCCTGACCACTCTCTCCTTCCATCTCCATTACATGAACCCCCCCCCCGCCTTCTTGCAGCCCCCCAGCTGTGTCTTATTGCCTTCTGGAGAGGCAGTATGTAGCAGGTGTCTGAGCTGCAGTGTCAGACTTCCTGGTAGGTTTGCGCATAATGTGTCTAGACTCAAACAAAGAAATGGATATATCTGCTGTCAAAATGGATTGCCCTCTTTTCACCTTAAGTGGGATATGGTGAATGAACATTTGGCCTATGTGAGGTTTAAAGGGTGTGTGTGTCTGTGTCTGTTTCCTAGAACCTGGTGGCTTCCAATCAGGCCTCTTGGAAAGCGCTCTGCGTTCAGTGGAGGGACTGCAGTATGATTCCAACGCATTTTTTTAAAAAGCAGGATTCCTGATCTTCTGTCCTTCAGCACCCCAAATTGACTTTCTATTACACCAATCATTACTTTGATAGACAGGAAAGCTTTTTTAATTTTTTGCCTTCTTGCCTAACAGCCTCTTTTTTTTTTTTTAATTAGGAAGGATGAGAAATTCTGGAAAAGGATCAGATACAGTTCAGCCAGTTCAGTTTTCAGTTCTAGGAATGACTACGCGATGCAGAAACAGACTTGTCCATTCCTACCCTTAATTGTTGAGCATGTCATTCAGTGTGATACTTTGCTCTGCCCTGTCATAGAAATTTTTTTTCTATCTTCTCTAGGTTAGCATAATTTCTACCTCTAGAGATAATGTTTATTTCACTGGAGGACCCATTTGCTACTGGGGAGGCCTCAGCAATTAAGTGTCAGATAAATCCAATTGACCTTCATCTAACAGTGTTGTTCTTACAGTAAAAAGGTGCCTTTGTCATATGATTGTAAGTCTCAATATTGCAGAAGGCCACAGGGAATGGAAATCCTGAAAAAAAAAATAATAGGGGAGAATAACCGTGCTTTGGGTTCATAATTAAACAGTTAACCTTCCCACTAGAATGCAAGTTTGTGACAGGAAAAGGATTTGACTCTTATTCACACGTTTGTCACCAGTGTCTGGAAGAAATCTAGTGCAGTCTTCCACATAAGCACAGTAGCTGCCCAGTGAATGTCTGGGGGATGATGGATGAATATGGATGAATACAGCTCTGTGATGTATTTGAAACACTTACGATCTTATTTAATGACAGCATTGGGGCTTTTACACTTTTAAACTCAATGGAGGCAGAGAATTTCAGTGACTTGTGCAAGGACCTACAACTATATCCAGTTCATTGCTTTTTCCACTCAGACTCCGCTGCCATATTGGGGAAAGAAGGATCAGAAATAAAAACAAGTAACTGATGTAAGCCATATCTCTGTATCTCAGGATTATACCCCAAGAACAGCAGTGTCGTACATAACCAGGGCATTAACACAAACCAAGCCAGTGGTAGTTGACCTTAAAAGCTTAAGCACCCAGAATGTTATGGGTGTGCACCTGCAGATCATATGTATAGAAGAGCCATCATGTTACTTTATAGTTAAATTGGTGTAAGACTTACTATAGGATGATCAAATAGGTGAACTGAAAAGGAATGTTTTCATTATATCTGATCACTTAGACGTAGGGAAAGGGAAGGGCCAAAGAGAATCTTGGAAGCTAGGGAGGGACGCAGCACTGTCTTCCACTTTAGGCAGACTTTGTGTTAATTCTCTTCTTTGCTAGGTAAAAATCTACATTTTCTCTTAATGTTGGCTGAGTTCATGTGTTATGTGACAAACTACTCTTCTCTCAAGTAAAAGCAGAAACATAGCGACACAGCCCTTAGCAAAGTTAAAGTGTTAATTTGTTGTTCTAGGGCCATGATTTGATAGGCAGAACATGCTGTGAACAGTAACAAAGGGGAAGCCTTTGTACTTTCTTCCCACTGGAAGGACTTTTGGGATTGCATTTGAGGGGGAGCTGAAATAAAAGGTGATCTGATTTTTTTTTATCACAACTACAGGACAGGAACTGCTCAAATGTGCCAGGGAGGCAGACCATTTTCATTTCTTTTGGTGATAGTGGCAGTTTCCATGAAAGAATTTTGAATATCTCTGTGTGTGTGTGTGTGTGTGTGTGTGTGTGTGTGTGTATGCATGCAAGATGTATGTTTTGTGTGGTGTAAGGGTACACTTGCCAGTGTGTACACTCTTAGAGACCTGAGGTCCATGTTGAGTATCTTTCTCTATTGCTCTTATTTATTTATTCATTCATTCATGACAGATTCACGGACCTAGAGCTCACCAGTTAGACTAGACTGGCTGGCCATTGAGCTACTGGTATCCTGTCTCCACTCAGCCAGCACTGGGATTACAGAGGTACCACTGTGCCTAGGTTTTACATGGGCTCTGGGGATCCAAACTCAGGTCCACATGCTTGTCCAGCAAGCACTTTCCTCACTGAGCCATCTCCCCAGCTCTTCAATTTTTTCTTGACTCTATTTGTGATTCTCACACATAACCATGCACCCAAATCACGTTAGGGATACTGTGTGTGGTGGCAGAAGACTGTAATCCTAGCACTCAGGATACTGAGCAGGAGGATGGTGAATTTGGGATTAGCTAGGCTAAATAAGGGCACCCTCTCTAAAATCATTTTTACCACCACCACCACCTATTAAGTTTGTTAAACATAAAACAGTCTTGGGACCCACCCCCAGGGTTTCCAATTTAGAAGATGTGAGAAAGGACCCCGAAGTTTTTATTTCTATTGTTATCAGATGATGCTGATGTTGCTGATTGAAGGAACACAGTCTGAGAAATGCTACTAATATGATCAATGAAGCAGCGTTTCATTGCTATGTAGCTGAGGGTGACATGGAATTTCTGATTCACTGCCTCCACCTCCTGAGTGCTGAGATCACAAGGTGTACTACCATATCTGGTTTTATGGGATGCTGAGAATCAAACCCAGGGCTTCAAGCATACTAGGCAAGCACTCTTATCAATTGAGCTACATCCCAGCCCTCCAGTCTCATTGTCCAGAGACCAAAGAAGCTCAAAGAGCTGAGATTATTTCTCTTCACTTGTTCCGATTTATAAAAGTAAACAGCTTATCAAGAGTTTTTGCTGGATGTGATGACATGTCTGTAGTCCTAGCACTTGTAAGTCTGAGACAGGAAGATTACTTTGTTCCAGGCCAGTGTAGGTCATAGTGAGACCCTGCCTTAAGAAAAAAAAAATCTCAAAAGTTGCTGGGTGTGGTGGCACACACCTTTGATCCCAGTACTTGAGAAGCTAAGGCAGGTGGATCTCTAAGATAGAGACCAGCCTGGTCTACATAATGAGTTCCAGGCCAGCTGGTGCTACAGGGAGAGTCTTTTTCAAAAAGACCAAAAAAAAAAACAAATCTTAGAAAAAAAGATTTTTTTTCCTTCAGGCAATTTATAAAATAATGTCTTATGGCTAATAAAAATGAGTACAGTGTTCTAATCAGCTATATATATGGCACTTAAATAATTGTGCATATGAAAGTGGGAGGTGGTGTTCCTATATAGTTTTTACTTACAGATTATGTTTGTTTTGCAGGACTGGGAATAGAACCCAGAGTCTCACTGCATGCAAGGCAAGAGCTCTACTACCAAGCTCCACCCACAGCCATTTAAAAAGGCAGAATGTCCGTATTACCTAAAACATTCGGCTTTTCTAGTTTTAGTTTTTCCTTTTTTTTGTTTTGTTTTTTTGTTTTGGTTGAGACAAGAGTCTCACTGTGTATCTCTTAGCTGATCTGGAACTCGCTATGTAGACCAGGCTAGCCTCAAACTCAGACAGAGATCTGCCTCCCCAGTGCTAGATTAAAGGCATGCACCATTACACCTGGCCCTTCAGTCTTTCTTGATCAATAGGATTAGAAGCAGAATTCTCACTTACTTATCTTTGATAACACATTAATAGAGAAAGTGTATCTTATCACAAAATCAACTTACCTACCCTGATTTCTTTTCCTCATCAATACAAGACTGGTATTTGAGATTCCAGGTAGATATGTCATGAAACTAACTTTGCTTATAGGTGCACAAGTCTTATAAGTAGCTTTGAATTAATAGTTTATTTTTTGAAATCCTAATCTTCATTTTCTGATCTCAGCTTTTTAAGTTTATTTATTTTTGGTTTTGTTTTACGTGTATGAGTATACCATGTAAGTGTACCATCTACATGCAGTGCCCATGGAGGCTAGAAAGTGGGCATGGGATCCCTTGAAACTGGAGTTACTGTTGTTAGTTGCTATGTGGGTGCTAGGAACCAAATCTGGGTCCTCTCTGCAAGAGCTGCCAATACTCTTAGCTGCTGAGCCATCTCCACAGCTCTGATCTCAGTTTTATTTTTGGGTTTTTTTTTGTTGTTTTGGTTTGGTTTTGGTTTTTTTTGTTGTTGTTATTGGCTTGGTCTTTTTGAGACAGGGTCTCCCTGTAGCCCCAGCCAGCCTGGAACTCACTATGTAGACCAGGCTGGCCTTGAACTCATAGAGATCCGCCTGCCTCCCGAGTGTTGTGCCTAAAACATGTGTCACCACACCCAGCTAAGTATTTACAGTCTAATGGACGTAACTACATGTGTACATCTTAAAATTATATTTGCCTTAATGGTATTTTACCTCATTTTCCATAATGCAGAATATTGTATAGCTAGAAACACTCATGTGGTAGTGGGCTGAGGGGTGTAGCTCAGTGGTAGACTCTTTGCCTAGAATGCTCAAATCTGTGAGTGTGATGTTGAGCATAGCAAAATCAAGGTAGAACAGATGTATGCAGTAGTGACGTAGAGAAAAATCTTATGTAATAGGTTACAAATCAGCATAGATGATCAGTTAGTGATCAGAGAACATAGAAAACAAAAAAAAAATGACCACTTAAAATGATACTGAAGTTAACAGTGATTAGAATGGCGACGCTTTTCTTGGTGGGTTTTCTTTGGAGTTAAAGATATTTTTGGATGCTGTATGGAAAAGCCACTATGGAAAACAGTAATGACTGCCTTGGTTTATTTAAAATTTGTAGAACCACTGCTTTATCCTTCAGCAAGTTTTATTTGGATAATTTTAGGAATAGATATATAATCCTAGTGAGCTTATTAAAAACTATAAAATGTATGGGGTTTCTTTTTGTTTTTTTTGGTGTTTTTTTTTTAACTAGTCAAGGATTAGGTGTCATGATGCTCTTCCATTCTAGTTCAAGCTGGCTGGCCTTCTTTTGTATCATGACTTCCTAATAAAGAGAGGATCTGACTGTGTTGGCAACCTACGCAAGGGTTTATTTTTATAGCCTGTGAGAGATGGTGAATTTTGTGGCAATTCTAATGAATAGAGAGCAATAACTAGGTACAGTAATTACCAGTATGGGAAGAAACTTGAGGGAAAATCTAGGTTGAATGGAATGACTCCTAGGTGGCTGGATCCTTCATGCACATCATATGACACATGCCATTTTCAGTTTTGTGGCATGCTCAGAATCTGGCTCTGATTTGAAGGTTTGGAGAATTGTGACTGGAATCAAGGTGAGTGGTTTGGTTGTACCACCTAGTTTGTGGTACAGATGCAAGGTTCTAAAAGTTGTGGACTTTATCTCTTTTTTTATTGTCCTATTTTCATCTTCTACTTTGGAAACTGGGTTGCTTACACCTGAAGGGAAGTGAGATTTAGAATACATGCTGTTTTAGACTATACTTTCTGATGTTCAGGTAAGAGTAAATAAGAATAGAATTACTCCTGCTATTCAAGTACTGATGTTAGCTGCAGTCACAGTTATCTGTAGGAAATGCAAGGTTGTACTTACTTGAGCTAGCTTCCCATAATCTGTCAGTGAAGACTACCATGTCTTGATTCATGCTTTATAAGGAAAGACATCTGGTGGGTGTAGAGCCTGTTGTGCTGAAAATGGAAAATTTTATTCAACTTCACAAGTACACGTGTAAAGCTGTCATAGTTACTTTTTACCCAAATGCTACCAGAAAGCTCTCTGTTAGTCATAGGCCAGTAGTGTTCTTTACCCATTTCCCCAACGATGATATAATGCCACTGTTAGGATAATGACATTGCCATCACCAACAGATCCTACTCAGAATCCCCTAGTTTTAGTAATATGTGTCTATTTTGTTCTGTACAACTCATCATGACTAGGTTTTGGCTTGTGCTAGGAATGAAACCTATGGACAGCCTCCTATGGAGGCAAGCCCTCTTAGCACTGAGCTAACACCCCTCGAACTATATGTAAAATTTTTTATCTACCTCTACAGTCAGAGTATTTGTGGACCAGCAAGATAACTCAGGAGGTAAAGGTGCTTGCCATGTAAGCCTGACAATCTAAACTTGGTCCCTAGAATCCACGTAAAGTTTGAAAAAGAAAACTTTCTACTCAGTTGTCCTCTGACCTCCACATGTGGCACCATAGCACATATCCTCACACACATAACAAAATAATAGTAAATTTAAAATTTTTTTAAAGATACATAGTATTCCCAATGCTATAAGGATCCCTCCTAGTGTCCTTTTTTAAATAACCATATCTCCTTCCCCTTCTCACTGCTGCCTATATGAGTGCCTTGTTCCGTTGTATTACTCTGTGTGTGTGTGTACATGTGTACGTGTGTGTCCCAGTTTAACTCTTCATCTCTTTTTTTTTTTTTTTAAAGAAGTATTCTTTTGCCGGGCATGGTGGCGCGTGCCTTTACTCCCAGCACTCGGGAGGCCTGGGAGTAAAGGTCAGCCTGGTCTACGTAGCGAGGTACAGGCCATCTAGGGCTACAGGGAGACCGTGTTTCAATAAGATAAAAAATAAAGCAAGTGTTCTACCTGCATGTATGTAAGTGCACCATATGTGTTGATGCCTACAGAGGCCAGAAGAGGACATCAGATCCCCTGGAATTAGAGTTACATTAGGGACCATGGTTAGTTGCCATATGGGTGCTAGGGACTGAACCCCGGTTCTCTGCAAGAACAGCTAGTGTTCCAAACCACTGATCCTTCTCTCCATCTCAAAACTGTTCATCTCTTGAAATATTTCCAGACTGATTATAGGGCCTATTACAAATAAAGCTATTGCAAACATTCATGTACAGTACAGGTTTTTGTGTTAGCATATAAGGTTCATTTTTCTGGGATAAATACCCAAGTGTACAAGGCCAGATCATGAGGTAATTGATATTTAGTTTTATTAGGAAATGTCAATTTTTTTTCTAGAGTGACTATACCATTTTATAGTCCTACCAGCAGTGTGTGAAGGATCCAATTTCTTTGCATTCTTGCCAGCATTTAGTGTCATCACTATTTTATATTTTGGCCATCTCGATAAGGTCAATAGTGTCTTTCATTTGCATTTCCCTGGTGGCTAATAGTGTTGAATATCTTTTTGTGTGTTTATTTGTAATCTCTCTGTACTCTTTAGTGACAGGCTTTATCATTGTCTTTTGTTAGGATGTGTGTGTTTTGCATGTGCACATAGATGTGTGGGTGGGCTCACACAGATGCCAGAGAAGGATTTCAGGTGTCTTCCTCAGTTGCTCTCTACCTTATTTTTTGAGACAGGGTCTGTCACTGAACCTGAAGCGCACCGTTTTGGCTAGGCTGGTTGGCCAGCAAGCCCCTGGGATCCACCTGTCTCTGCCCCCCACATTTAGGGCCATGCCCAGCTTTTATGTAGGTTCTGGGAATTTGAACCTGGAGCCTCCTGTTTTATACATCAAGTGCCCTTTTTCCCACTGAACCATCTTTCCTGCCTCTCTTTTTGTTTTTTTGTTTTTTTGTTTTTTTTTTTTTTTTTTTTGAGACAGGGTCTGGTCTCCCTGTACTCCCAGCTGGCCTGGAACTCACTGTGTAGACCAAGTTGGCCTCAGTCGCAGAGAGCTCTGCCTGCCTCTGCCTCCCAAGTGCTGGGATTAAAGGCATGTGCTACTGTCCCCAGCTCTTTTGTTCATTTTTAAAGTTTGTGTTTGTTCCTGTTGAGTTTGTGAGCTAACTAGTGTTTTGTCAACTGTACATTTTCTCCCTGTCTGTAGTTTGTCTTTTGTACTGAGTCTTTTAAGAAGACAAGATTTTAATCCTAATATGGTCCATTTTGTCCCTGCTTCCTTTTGTGGATCATGTTTCTGGTGGGTGTCAGGTCTAAGGACTTCTTGCCTAGCCTACATCCTGAAGATTTTCTCCTATTTTTAAATTAAATGTTTTATAGTTTTACACTTGGTATTTTTGTAAAGTGTGTGGGTTAGGTTTGCTTCCCTGGTTTTTACATATAGGTGCTCATTTGTTGCAGAGGCTATCCTTCCTCCTTGGAGTTGTTTTTACACCTTTGTCAACTACCAGTTGAGTAATATTTGTGTGTGTCCATTTCTGGATTCTTCCCTATCAACCTTTCACCAGTAACTTGGAGCTTGCAGAATGATAGTAGTCTATCATTTCTTCATTAATTAGTTGCAATGCTTCTCTAAAAGAGATTTTTCTGGGACTGGAGAGATAGCTCAGCAGTTCAGGGTGTTTGCTGCTCTTGCAGAGGACCCAAGTTTTGTTCCAGGTATTCACATGGGGCTGTTTACAACCCCCTGTACTCCAGGGGATCTGATACCTTCTTCTGGACTCCATGGGCACCTTCATGCAGATGCACATACATACATAGAGACCCACACACATACACATAATTAAAATATTAAAAATAAATCTTTAAAAGAGATTTTCCTCACCAATTGTTTGGTTGCTCTCAGGTGTTGTTTGTACAAGAAAACTCAGGATAAACACTTGCTTTCTTCCTTTAATATTTACTTATTTACAGAATAATGAGTTGATTCCCTACAACCTCCAAAGATGACCAATAATGGGTTTGTAAGTATTATGAACTAATAGAGTCTCAGCATATCAGACATACATTAATTCATTGCAGTTATTATTGATACTCAGATTGACTCCTGTTGCCAGGAGTCTATTCCGATTGTTGGCACAACTCCTGTGGTCTTTGACAGCTTGCTTATTTGTAGGCCCAGGAAGATTTCCCAGGTTCCTCTTAGACATTTCTTGTCCTAGACTTGGAAATAGGCATTTCTCTAAGGAACATGATTCCTTTTCATGAGGAATGATTGTGAGCACAATTTGTACATTAGCAACCAGGCTACTGTTAACACTCTTAGTATTTCTGTAAACAAATAAATCTAATTGTTTACACTTAAAGCATATATGAAAGAGAAGAACAAATCATGAGTTTACACTGATATTTTCAATTCAAGTTTTAAAGGTAAGGTCTAGGTTATAAATATTTTATATTTATATGTCCTATGCTTCGTTTCTAATCAATAACTTTTATTCATTTTACAGGAAAAGAATTTAGGGCTGATTCTTTGATTTCATAACCAAAATACCCTATTGATAAAGTTGTGTAGGAACAGTGATAAGACTGGCTGATTTAGAAGCCTTTAAACAAAGTGTATCCTTGTCCGTTTTAATTGTACATTAACTCATATAGGTACAGCCCACGCTTGATGGAAAAAATTCTGCATATGGCTGAAGGTATTGATATTGGGGAGATGCCTTCATATGATCTGATGCTGCCCAAACCTTCTAGAGGCCAGAAGCGCCACCTTTCGATGTATGATGGTGAGTATACTTGTTTCCAGAGGTGCGATTTGAAGCTTAGCTCTTTAGAATAGTGTGAGTGTGGCCTATGCCTTCAAATAATACTGGTAGCATTGGCTTTTACAAAAAGATAAAAGATTTTCAATTTGCATATAATTTGAAGATGCTAAGTAGAACTAAAAAACTGAAAATACAGAAGTCCTATAATGCTGCCCTTCAAGTCTGTGTCATGGAACCTTCCTCTAAAGAGAACAGTCTCATTCGAGGATCATTTGAGTATCTGAGTAACTAAATTTCTTTGGATGGGTCCAGATGGACGCGCCTTCTACCGAGGAGTGCTGTACGGAAGAAGCACTAGTCTCTGCTATAGACTTAGTAACTCTTCCATAGCTTCAAATGCGATACCTGCCTGTCTCCCCCCCCCAATACTTAATCATAGGTTCCAGATGTTGTTTGATCTAGGAATATATAGCAAAGAGCCTTTTGTGCAGGGTAGGTCAGAACTCAGGTTTTGATGAAAGCCTTTGGAATCTTCTGACTTTTTTAATGTTGTAGTTAAAGCTATGTAAAGTGCTATCACAGTCACTCACCTCTAATACAAGAGATTTATGTACGTACATGTAGTCGTCACCTCTTGCATTAGAGCCATCTGCAATCCTTTGACATTTTGAGCACAGGTGGTAAAGATTGAGTACAGCTTACCTGTGCATTAGCTCATTGGATGGAGAATCATTTAGTCATGCACGGAGGTGACCTGCATAGTTGGTTGAGTGGGTTATTTCCTAGCAGGAGTCTTCCTTTGTGCACAGAATGAAAGGGAGTATTGATCCTTGTGGCGGAACCTTTTTCAGTGATATGAATCCCTTTACCCAGGTGGCTTGGCATTTTTGCAGGGACAGACCTTTTTTCAACAGTGCAGCTTTCAAATAATATGGTTAGTTCTATTTTCCTGCTTGGTTCGTTTTGAAATACTCCCATTTTAATAAATTGTAAATTTCACTCATTCTATAGGTCAAAATCCTCCTAAAAAGCAAGCCGGTTCCAAATTCCATGTGAGACCTCGTTTTGAACCTGTCCATTTTGTAGCTAGTAGTTCAAAAGATGAAAGACAGGAAGATCCTTATGGTCCTCAAACAAGAGATATAAATGAACAAATGCATTTTGTCAGCATGCCAAGAAACTTCTACCAAGACTATACTCAAGACTCTTTCAATGTACAAGATGGGCATTCTCAGTATTGCAATTCATCGGGATTTATTTTCACAAAAGATCACCCTATGACGGCCAGCATGTATTTTGACAGTGGGAACCCTGCCCCAAGCAGCACACCCCATCAGGCAAACTTGAGGGTAGTCCCTGAGCCTGCTTCACAGACATATCCTGAGTCAGTGGTAGCCGAGAAGCAGTATTTTATTGAAAAGTTAACAGCAACTATCTGGAAGAACCTTTCTAATCCAGAGATGACTTCTGGATCTGATAAAATTAATTATACCTACATGCTAACTCGTTGTATTCAGGCATGTAAGACAAATCCTGAGTATATATATGCTCCCTTAAAAGAAATTCCTCCGGCTGACATCCCAAAAAATAAAAAACTCCTCACAGATGGTTACGCTTGTGAAGTTAGATGCCAAAATATCTACCTAACTACAGGTTATGCAGGCAGCAAGAATGGGTCCAGGGATCGAGCTACTGAGCTAGCCGTCAAACTCTTGCAGAAGCGAATTGAGGTGAGAGTTGTCCGGCGGAAATTCAAGCACACAGTTGGAGAGGACCTTGTGGTGTGTCAGATTGGCATGCTTTCGTATGACTTTCCCCCAGCTCTGAAACCACCAGAAGACCTGGTGATGCTGGGGAAGGATGCTTCTGGGCAGCCTGTTTTTAATAGTTCTGCCAAACACTGGACCAATTTTGTCATTACAGAAAACGCAAACGATGCCATTGGCATCCTTAACAATTCTGCCTCATTCAACAAAATGTCAGTTGAGTACAAATATGAGATGATGCCAAATCGCACATGGCGTTGTCGAGTGTTTCTCCAAGATCACTGCTTAGCTGAAGGTTATGGAACCAAGAAAACAAGCAAACATGCAGCTGCTGATGAGGCTTTGAAAATTCTTCAAAAAACCCAGCCCACTTATCCATCTGTCAAAAGTTCCCAGTGCCATTCTGGCTCTGCACCCAGAGGCTCTGGAAAGAAGAAAGACATAAAGGATCTCGTCGTTTATGAAAATTCTTCTAATCCTGTGTGTACACTGAACGACACAGCTCAGTTTAATCGAATGACAGTTGAATACGTGTATGAGAGGATGACTGGCCTCCGCTGGAAATGCAAGGTGATTCTAGAGAGTGAAGTCATTGCAGAAGCGGTTGGAGTGAAGAAGAGTGTCAAATATGAAGCTGCTGGAGAAGCTGTGAAAACCCTCAAAAAGACCCAGCCAACTGTCATTAACAACCTGAAGAAAGGGACTGTTGAAGATGTGATTTCAAGAAATGAAATTCAGGGTCGCTCAGCAGAGGAAGCTTACAAACAGCAAATCAAAGAAGATAACATAGGGAATCAGCTGCTGAGAAAGATGGGTTGGACGGGTGGTGGTTTAGGGAAATCTGGCGAGGGCATACGGGAGCCTATCTCAGTCAAAGAGCAGCATAAGCGAGAAGGGCTTGGGCTAGATGTAGAGAGAGTCAATAAAATTGCCAAGAGGGATATTGAACAGATCATCAGAAATTATGCCCGCTCCGAGAGCCACACGGATTTGACCTTCTCCACAGAGCTGACCAATGACGAACGCAAGCAAATACATCAGATTGCTCAGAAGTATGGCCTGAAGAGTAAGTCTCATGGGGTGGGCCATGATAGGTACCTGGTAGTAGGTAGAAAAAGGCGGAAGGAAGACCTCCTAGATCAACTCAAACAGGAAGGCCAAGTAGGACATTATGAACTTGTTATGCCCCAAGCAAATTGAGGTCTTCTGGTTTATCTTGTAAATGCCACATGAGACAGATCATACATTTAAAAAAAATACTACATGTTCTGGTTGCAGAGTATTCATTCTTAAGATGTTTCACCTTGTTCATTTCATATAGTGCTTTATTAGGTATTGAAACCTGAAGAATTAATTCTGTCCACTTGTATTAGCTTAATCCAGCAGATGAAATTGTGCAGTTACTGTTTATGTCTTTGATATTGTTGTGTCCCTCAGAATTTAGTAGTTCGTACAAGCAAGAACACCCATCCCAGTGGAATTTCACCCTGAGGAAGAAATTCACATTTTAAAGAGCATAGAACAGCAATCTGCAACAATATGTAAAGTCATTATTGACTCTTAATTAAACTACAGTTTTAATTCCAGACTTACAGAAAATGTCAGGTCATTTTGTATTATCTATTTTCATCTTTGTGTGAAGCCAGTTATAGAATGTTTAAGTAGTTTGTGCTGTATATGTAAATGTCCTTACCAATTAAATGGTGTAAAACTTTCGTAAAAGAACTTTTAGTGTGTGTTTATTTATAACTTCTATCCTGTGATTTCCAGAATATTGGAAGTGGTTTACTGTATCTTGTGATATATGAGTTTTAACAAATTCTAGTCTTCATGCTGAGAGAGTACTACTTGAGAGAGCCATTGCTGAGTTTCAAAAAAAAAAAAACTTTCAGTTGGGAGAAAGGAAGCTTGAACTGCTTGTTCTTGGTGCCTTGCAGAGAGCCTCACAGCAACTCTCCATTGTAGCTTTCACACAGTGTGCGCCACATCCAAGGCAGCCATGGCTGTGGTAGAGCTTGGTAAAAGACTGAAGAGACACTGGTGCTTTGATGAAAAGGTCAGTTGGCTGGTCCCTCTCTCAAAAAGCTTATCACGCCCCAAAGCCAACTTTATAACATATTTAAAACTGCTATTTTCGCTTATTTCTGGAATGTAAAAAATGTATAAAAAAGAATTAGTGTATGCTTCCTGAATAAAAAGGAGCCAAAATTGATCAAAATGTTGGTGTGCTTATTTCTGGAGAGCAGCGTAGTAATACTTTGGGTCTTTGGAGAATGGAAGTGGTGTTTGCATGAAATATTTCAGTCATAGAGCACATGTGATTTAGCAGATGGGAAGAGAATCCATCACTCATCACGTGGGTGACTTTTTGACTTTTATTTATTTGATTTGGGGTGGGTTTTTCCTGTACATCATTCTGGCTTCAGTCACATCTTAGACTGTTCACTTTTATGTGATTTTATTGTATCTCAGATAAATCAAGTAAAACCACACAATAGGACAAGTGAATATTGATAGTTAAACACCTCCAAAGAAAATCTGGTAAGGATTCAGGTTGTTTGCATGTCTTTTTAAAAAATATTTATTTTTGAGACTAGAGTCTCCTTATAGCCCCACCTGCCCTGGACCTTGCTATGTAGCCCATGCTGGCCTCAAACTCACAGAGATCTGCTAACCTCTGCCTCTAGAGTGCTGGGATTAAAGACGTGTGGGTATGTGTATGTGCATACAGGTGCCCCAAGGGGGTGAGGTCCCCTGGAGCTGGCGTTACTGGTGGTTGTGAGCCACCTGATAGATGCACTGGGAACCAAACTTGGGTCCTCTGAAGGGTAGTATATATCCTGTTAACTTCTGAGCCATCTCTCTAGCCCGTTTGCAGTGTCAAATATAGAGATTGGCTTTTACACCTAAATCTCCAATATATAGGGAACTATATTGATTAGCAGTGTGGTTGGTGTCTGCTTTCCACTATATTTAGATAGTGTGTCCTTAATTTTGGTAGAAGAGGTATGCATTTTATTTTGGCACTTAATACTTGAGCAGAGGCAAAGAGAGCTAGGCTAAAACCTTGAAAGATTCTGTGATTATAATGTTTTTACATACAAAGTTCAGTCCCATCTTGACAGTTGTGGTTCAGTTAGAAAAAATCTGTCTTTTGTTCTCTGGATGGTTTTTGGAGATTATGAGATGTGAAAACTTAGCTTTCTTCTTTCTTTACACTTCTTCTATCCAGAATGATTTTTTAGAGGAAAGTGGTAGGAAAACATTACATACAAATCGGATTTGTTTATATAAGCCTAATGGAACAGATTAGTTACACTTAAGGCTCTCAAATAATTGGGTCAAGTATATAGGAATTTAGTTCCTGATTTTCAGGGGCCAGATTTCTCAACTTTGTAGATCAGCTTTAGAATTAATGCAGAATTAGAGCAAAGTCACTTAACTGCCTGAGAATTAAATAATGTTAAGAAATGAGGTTGACAGTGTGATCTGCTAACAAACTTGCTGTTCCAGTTTTTCCCTTTAGTTGGACCTCCTGTTTTTTTCTCTTGAAAATAGCAGTCATTTTTAACCGAGTAACCTTGCTATAAACCCTGCTCAGTATATGAGCAATTCAAGTTTTATTTATATGGTAAGCTGAAAACTGTGCTCACAGATCTGTTTTTGGATTTTTCCCTCCCCTTTGACTGCAAAATTGAATGGGAATATCATGTGTTCCATTGGGGTTCTTTTTTTAGTATACAGTACATTCACTTTGCTAGGAGTTAAACCCATCAAACTCAAAAGACAGGTCCTAAATAAAGAACTCTAATTACAACTTTGGTTCTTCAGCATACCCCCTTCCTCACATACGCAGATGCAGAATTGAAGACAAGTTCAGATCTGCCATTTGAAAAGGCACCTTGCAAATCTTTAGTTAACGTCATTATAATTATTATATACAGGCAAGGAAGCCTGTGTTAAAAATTGTAAAGGAGGAAAAAAAGGTAATTTGCATTCAGCGTTCAAATGAGTGTTTAGTGGTGGCTTTGACCATGGCTATGTTGCTTTGGCAAGTCAGCTCCATTGTGAAGGTTAGGAAAGGATTATATCATGAGGGATTGGAGGTGTGAAAAATATTAAATCTGCCCATTCCCAATCTCATCCTAAATTTTTGAGTATGATTACCTGTCAATATTTAAGGGGCCCAGCCAAAGCAGAGTTAAAAAAAGTATTCCACAACAATGAAAAATTTGATGGAGTTCTACTTTGAAGCAGAAATGGACTTGAGGGGAAGTACTAAGCATATTTAAGGACATCACTTCTAAGTGGAACAATGCAATTATCATAGTACTGTAGATTGAACTCCCCTACAGTGAGGCTTAAGTACCCATAACTTAAACAGACGATTGAAGTACACACATCTTTCTCCCCAATGATTACCAAGTCATGATTGTGTGTTGTTGTTGTCTCTATAAAATGATAGGTTACTTCTCAGAGGAGGGAGCAGTTGTTTCAACATGATGCTAGAGGATACCTGTCCTCCAAAGCTTAGGTAGAAATTAAATTTTTTAAATAAATTTGGTAGTTTAAAGATTCATTTGTTCTTTTTTTGTATGTGCGTGAATATATGTGCACTGCGTACATGGTGCCTGTGGAGGTCAGAAGTGGGAGTCAGATTTCCTAGAACTGAGGTTACAGGTGTTTCTGAGTTGCCTGGTGTGGATGCTGGATGACCCAGGGTCCTCTGGAAGAGCAGCAGGTGCTCTTTAACTGCTGAACCAACTCTCCATTCTTCTTACCCCTTTTTTTGAGACTTTATGTAGCCTTGGCTGGCCTAGAACTCACTATGTAGAGCAGGCTATCCTTGAACTCAACAGAGATCCACCTGCCTCTGCCTCCACGTGCTGGGATTAAAGATGTGGGCCACCACACCTAGCTAAACTATGGGTTCAAGAGGTAGATTGTCAGAACTAACAAGTTAGATCTTGGTCTCTGAAGACACTAGTAAATACCCAGGTTTATTCCCTCATCATTTCATTCTCCATAGACTACAATGTATACTGAAGTAATTATTTGATCATTTATATAAAAATAGTTTTTAAAGAAATCATTAATATCAAAAAGGAAAAAAGGGTTCTCAAACAGTACTGTCTTCTATTTCCAGAAATTGTAGTTTTTGTTTTTAGCAAAATACTTTAAAGGGGAACTAAGTAGATAGTAGATCCCTGAAGAACTTGATAATAGAAGTATGGACTAAATTTTAAGGTTATTTTTATTTACAACTTTTGAAAATGTACAGTTTTTTACATGGGTTACTTGTGCAAAGTTAGACTTAGAAGAGCAATAAATTCATAAAAGGTTAACAATGAGATATTAGACAAAACATTTACAGGCCTTGCTCCATACTGTATATCTAAAAGTGTAAATATCCAAAGGAAACTTGCAGATGTGGGCTTTAAGCCTCTCAAAACACTGAAAGGGAAGAAACTAAAGCATGCAGCAATAAGTCAGAATGGGAAAAGTTTGCAAGAGATAGGCTCCCTTCCTTGAATAATAAAAAGATGGAAAATTGTATTAAGTTTATCTAGGGCAACACTGTTCCTTTAAAAGGATTGGAGATCTTCCTCTCTTCCTAGCTCAAAAAGTGTTGCTTCTATTCCTGTTTGCACATCTCTTTAAAGAGCAAAAACTCTTAACGACCAGGATTCTGAAACATAATGGGTTTGCAAGAGTTTTGTCCTTTGAATAGGACAGAGTGGATATGTCAATTACTGAAATTGCTTTACTCTTTGACTCCTTCAGCAGTTTCCTTGCTACCAATCAATGCCATTTTGTAATTCACATTGCTTAGAAATGAGCAAAGGATTTTTAGCTTTCCTTTCCCTTTCAAAAGTGTTGATATGGAGGATGTTTCTGTTTAGGAGAAAATATATATATGTATACATCCTAAGGATATTCACTTCCAAATCCAACACAAGGGAAGGACCAGCCAGGATAAAACACTGAAAAAATAGTATTAACATAAGATCCTGGCTGGGCATGAATGGCACATGCCTTTAATCCCAGCACTAGGGAGGCAGAGGCAGGCCAATCTCTATGAGATCGAGGCCATTGTGATTTGCATAGTGAGTTCCATGCCAGCTGGAGCTACAGGGAGACCCTGTCTCAAAAACAAAATAAGAAAAAAAAGATCCTGGTCACAAGGCTGTGCAGAAGAATGCCTAACAATTTATCTTAAAAGCTTAATGTAAAGTACAGTAACATGATGACTGCTTGGAGGCTGGAGATGAGAAACAACAAAGAACAAAAGCAAGTAGTAACATTCGCAAGTAACCCAGGTACAGTATATTGGATTTCAAACGGCGTCTTTGATGCCGGGCGGGAGGGCAGGAAGGAGAAGAAAAACTTGGCAAGGGAAGACAAACAGCACAACAGCTATTTTGTTTTTAATAAAGTAAATGCAAGGAATTAGGAAGAAGATGGTAAATGCATTGATATATATTTTCTTATGGCCAGCCTCTTCTTTTCTCCACCCTGGGTCAACAGTCACGCCAACTTTGTTCTACTATTGCAGAAACACGCTTTTCATATTCCCGTTTGTTCTCTTGGTACAGCTGAGCAGCCTGGCTGTTTGCTGGACTATTGGGATTAGGCTCATCCAATAGAGACTACAGAGAAAAAATGTAAATGTCAATTCCTCAATGCCAAAAAAGCATGTTCAGAACAGCTATTTTATCAGCTGGTGACAGCAGACTTGTCCTAATAGCAAACTTTCCTCTCTTTAGCATACTAAAAGTTACACTAACTGCAAGTTACTTAGGCATATATACATGTAGACACATTCTCTCATGGCTTGGGGCCTAATGGTCTACTTTTATTTATACAATAAAGTTTGACCAAAATTAAAAAAGGTCAAAGTTACAACTTTCCAAAACCAGTCACTAATGTAAACATATCAATGGTCATAATCGCATTTAAAAAATCACCTGTATGGATGTTAAAATGGAAGACACATCATAGGTTGGACTCCAGCGGTTCTGAAGAATATCCAGACATATACTACCATCTGCATAGACTAAACATAAAAGTATTGTTAAACAAGACTACTAAAGTTTTGACAAAAATGCTCAAAAATACTTTGCTTTTGAAGCTTAAACATTACTAGAGTACTGTCTAAAAAGATGTAATCATTACTAGGGAGATAGGGTGATCGGGGGAGAAACAAATGGTATAAACTGGAAGACAGTGCTTACTCTGAAGAAACTACCTCTTGTCTAGGAAGTCATGCATTCTAGTGGGTACCCTAGCCATAGAACTGTGGGAAATTCATCCCACCAAATATGAAAACTGTTTGTCCTTTTTGAAATAGTAATAGCTTAAAGTTCTTAAAGTTTCATTTGGGCATAAAGATAAATATGACACCATGAAAAAACTGCTATTACTAGAAAAAAATCCTGTAGACTTACAGCACTTCATCAAAGCATACCTGCCCCTCAACAACAGAATCTGCTATTTGGTAGGTCTAAAGTGTGACCACAGAGTCTGTGTTTTAAAATATTCTGTGGTAATTTTGATTTGCACCTAAAGTTGAAAACTACTGTTCTGAATGCTAGTGAAGATAATTATAATATACAATTACCCTAATCTGTTCTAGCATTAAATGGGACCCCCAATAATAGTATCATTTTTTTAATAAGTAAATAATAAAAATTGCCAAAACCAAGAGATGCTTAGGCTCCAAGCAAAGGGATAGTACCTTCTTACTGCCATTTAGGACTATAGATCAAGACAGCAAAAGATCATGAAGGAGTTCAGGTTTCCAGAGACAGTAAGATTCCTAAGCAAATACTCAAGGACTACAAGTAAACAGAATTTTGGAGAATCACTGTAATAAGCAGTACAGTACCTTACAATAGCATGTTTAAAATACTTGCCATTAGGATGGAACATCTTGGAGACAAATCTAACAGTAGGTGGTTTATTCGGATATTCTTCAGTGAACTCAATTGTAAGTTTAAATGTTCCTGTAGTCCAGAAAAAAAGGGGGGGGTAAGAAAATGTATTTTTCACTTTTTTCACAAGAACTTTGTTTTTAATGATACCTGAGATTTTTTAAGTATTAAATGAAATAATGCAAAGACATAGGGATAGTATATAGAGAGGAAAGGCAGGCCAGGCAAGAAATCCGCCTCTAGGAATTGCTCTAAAGACAGACTGATGTTCTGGGAACCATTACCCAAAGGTGATTTTTTTTTTAAATTTTCCATTATTCTCCAAACTTAAAAATAGCCATGATAAACAAAATTGCTTGCCATATGTTAGCCACTATGCATTTTGAAAATATCCTTCAAACAACAAGACCTGGAGCCCCAAATATGGTCTTCCTTCAGAAGACTAAAAGAGCTTGGGGCTGATGATTGAGCTCAGTGGTAGAGCACTTGCCTAGCTTGCAGAGAGCCCTAGGTTCAATCCCCAGCACTCAAAAAGACCATAAGGCTAATGCAGTCAGCTATCATCTTAAATTCGCTAATAGTTTCCAGTGGACTAGAAAAGTAAAGGATTCAACCGGTGCTAGAAATATGAATCCATAATCAAGTTAATAAAAAGGAATACAGAGAAAAATGCTCACTGGTTCCTTTTCATGTAAGTCACTCTATAATGAAAACTTAATTGAATTTAAGCTAGAACAAACTTCACAGTCACTCTTAAAACCCTTAAGTATGACTCATAAAGCACTTCACTAAAACAATGTAATCATTCACACTAATGGAGGGTAGAAATAATTTAATAATTGTATTAGGTTTAGATTGCATTAATGTCTCCTACCAATTTATCTTTAGTGATACTTATTTAGGCTACTCGTATTAAAAATAAATTTTTTTCTTGTGTGTCAACCTAAGGTAGCTGGAGGCCCTAAAATATTGTAGGCTGTTGTGATCTGGGAGAAGCATCTCTTTTAAAGTATTATTTTTAATTGTGTTTGTTAAGTAAATTTATGAAATTGAGCATTTTTTTCCCTGACTGAAATCTCCACAAGCAAACTTACAATCAGTTATAGGGACTGGCAAGATGGCTCAATGGACAAAGCACTTGCTGCACAAGCCTAATGGCCCAAGTTGAATTCCTGGAATGCACATAAAGGTAGAAGGAGAGAACCAACTTCACAAAGGTCTTCTGACCTCCACATACACGCCATGGCATGTGTATACTCACATATGCACACATAATAAAAAGTATCAGTTTTTATCTGGTTACCATGCATATTCTATTATATAACTGGCCCATTTATTTATTGCTATGAAGTATCTCGAACTTCAGAGAAAGTATAACTTGTTACTAGTTCCTTTAGGGCTAGTGGTAATTTATTTCTTCCTGGCTCCTATCAATATGTTTAATATCACTTAAGAAGAAAGAATCCAGGCCGACTATGGTGGTGCACACCTTTAATCCCAGCAACCAGAAGGCAGAGGCAGGCAGATCTCTGTGAGTTCAAGGCCAGCCTGGTCTACATACTGAGTTCCAGGCCAGCTGGGGCTACAGAGATACCGTCTCAAACAAAACAAAACAAATCCTATAATATTACTGCTATATCTGATACATAACAATACAAAAACTCTGATTTTGGAGTTAAAGAATTTGCTCAGTGGTTAAGCACACTTGCAATGACCTGGTCTCAATTCCCAGCACCCACACCTGGCAGCTCACAACTGCCTGTAACCTCAGTTCCAGGAGATCCAGCATCCTGTTCTTATATCTGCAGACACCTCCATGTGTGTGGTACGTTTACATACACTCAGGCACATAAATGAACATAAATCCTTTAAAAATTTGTTTTCTAAGTCTGGTGTGGTGGCACACACTTTTAATCCCAGCACTCAGTAGGCAGAGGCAGGCGAATCTCTCTGAGATCGAAGTCAGCCTAGGTCTACACAGTGAGTTCCAGGCAAGCTGGGAATACAGGGAGATCCTATCTTACAAAAAAATAAAAATACAACAAAAAATTGTTTCTATTACTAAATTCATAGGAAATAACTTGCTAACAAAGCTGACCTTGGTATGAGCATGTGTCACAAGGTTCCATTTAAATGCATTATGAGGGCCCAGCGTGGTAGCCCACGCCTTTAATCCCAGCACTCCAGAGGCAGAGGCAGGATCTCTGTTGAGTTTGAGGTCAGCCTGGTCTACATAGCAAGTTCCAGGCCAGCTGGGGCTACAGAGAGACCCTGTCTCAAAAAGACTCCTCAAAAATGCAGTATGAGTGGCTGGAGAGAAGGTTCAGTGGTTAAGAGCACTGGCTGTTCTTACAGAGGACCCAGGTTCGAATCCCAGCACCCACATGATGGCTAACAACCATCCATAACTTCAGTTCTGGGGGATCCAATGCCCTCTTCTGATCTCTGCGGGCATTATACACCATGGGCACACTCACATACATGCAGGCAATACACTCATATCATAAAATAATAATAAAATATTAGAAAAATAAATAGCCGGGTGTGGTGGCCCACACCTTTAATCCCAGCACTAGGGAGGCAGAGGCAGGTGGATCTTTGTGAGTTCAAGGCCAGCCTGGTCTACATAGTGAGTTCAGGACAGCCGGGGCTACAGAGAGACCCTGTCTCAAAAAGACCAAAATAAATAAATAAATAAAATGCAAAATTAGGGGCTAAAGAAATGGCTCAGCAGGTAAAAGCACTTGCTCTTGCAAAGGACCAGGATTCGGTTCCTAGCATCCACATGGCAGCTCACAACTGTCTACTACCTCCAGTTTCAATGGATCTGATGCCTTCTTCTGGCCTCCATGAGGATTGAATGCATATGGTGCACTTAAATGCAGGCAAAACACTCATAGACATAAAATAATAAATTAAAAACTGTTAATGCAACATGGGACTGGGGGTGTGCTCAGTGGTAAGAGTATTTGTTTAGCATATGCCAGGTCCTGGGTTGCATCTATAGCACCACAAAAATATAAATAAAGTGCAGCACCTGGAGATATGTCATATTCCTCAAACTACTGTCACTCTATAAACTATTTTCCTTTGAAATCCTTATCTGAAGATAGTACACAACCAAGGAAAGGGAGCATAATTCTATGGAATGGATGTACTATAGGGTATCCAAACATGCTTCACTTTTTCTGGCTATAAATTTTCCTCTTCTTGAGAAATTAAGCACAGCCCTTTCTTCTCAGTATATTAGTGGCACTGTAATATGCAAGAAAAAGTGGAAATGGTAGAATCTATGTTCAATACCTGGTATTTTCTTCCATATCTCACATGTAAACATACCTGGATCAATGCTGAAATCTGATTAATTATAGGTATGTAACTTATTACCAAAAGTTTTCTAGATCTTGGCAGTCTTAACAGCACACTGAGATTCTCAGTTACCCTGAATTAAGTCCATCATTAAATATGTTATCTAAAAGAGGAAAAATCAATGTATAAGGAAAGCAAAAACAGTACAGTGGGTTTAAGAGTACAAGCTTGGAGTTGGAGAGATGGTTAAACATTTAAGAGCACTGGTGGCCCATGCAGAGCGCCCAGGTTTGGTTCCCAAAATCCACATGACAGCTCACAACTGCCTGTAATTCTTGTTCCGGAGGATCTGACACCTTTTGTCCTCTGTGGGCATCAGGTATACACATACATGTAGGCACTCACACATACACATAAAATAAAAATAAATCTTTTTTAAAGAGTACAACCTTTGCAGTCAGGCAGGCCTGGGGAAATATCTTTGCTCTGTTACATGCTTTGTGATTAATCAGCTGTCCAAACCTTGGGAAAGTGAAGGTGCAGGACTTGACTAAACCTCAAGTTCTTCATGTATAAAATAAGGCTAATAATTAGTGGTCACTGCAATGCTGTTGTGAGGAAAATGTTTCAGAGTGCTACAAAGTGCTCTATAAATGAACAATTTAGCTAAAATTCTCACATTTCTAGAACTAATTGAAGCAGACAAAAAACAAACTCTTGGCTGGGTGTGGTAATGCATGCCCTTAATTCCAGCACTCAGGAGGGAGAGGCAGGTAGATCTCTATGAGATTGAGACCAACCTGGTCTACAGAGCCAGTTCCCAGGTCAGCTGGGACTACAGTGAGACCCTGTCTCAAAACAAAACAGAACAAAACAAAAACCCTAAAACTAAAATTCTGAACTTCACTACCAGCAAGAAATATACAAATAATTCAGATATCAAGGAGCACTTGTTTCCTGCCATACAGCAAACACACAAATTAATAAACTGAGTATATGTTTCTAGTTCAAATACCTTGGCTTGAGCCTTCTGCCTAACATGAGCCTGGAAGATTAACAGGAAGCTTATCTAGCTACCAAAGAAATGAATCAAGTCTTTCTTTTAAAGCTCTAGATATCTTCAGAAGATCTGTTTATGTCTACCTGAATATAAGATTTACCCAACTCTTATTCAATGTACACCTTTAAAAGGTGGCATTTCATACTTTTAGTCACAGTAATAATCAGCCTCTTCAATACAATTTATAAGATTGAAACAAATGTTAAGACAATTTTAAAACCTCATAGGCTATCAAACAATTTGAGACTCATTCATCTCCAGAATATTCAGAGGGATAGGCTCAAAAATAAATAAAAATTTAAGCCTTATCACTCTCACAATCTCTACTGAGTTTTTTTCATCTTTCTGAGGAGGCTAAAACATTTTAAGTAAAGCATTAATCCATGCATACATGGAGGCCTGGACAATTATATAAATGTGTTAAATGTCTGCTACATGACAATAAAGATGAACATGGTTGAATTAGAGTATATGTTCTGTCTAAAGACATGCAGATTCAAATTTTTAAAAACATTAAGTTAGAGCCAGGTATGATGACACCCGTGGCACACACACTTAAAATTCTAGCACTTGGGAGGGTGGAAGCAGGAGGATCAAGAGTTCAAGGTCTTTCTCAACCACATAGTAAGTCTGAGGCCAGCTTAGGCTACATGAGACCCTGTCTCAAAAATAATAAAGGAAAGAAAATACTAAGTCTGTCAAAGAAAACCCTCTGATTGTGTTCCTTATCATTTAGTTACTGAGGAAAAAGCAAAAATACATGTACTTAAAAATTTTGATGACTGAAAATTCTGATTTTAGATGAAACCTGAAAGACTTCATCATAATTTAATTAAGAACACTCTTGGTGGACTTTAAGAGATTCCTTTTTTTAAAAAAGCTTATATATTCAACTTCTTAAGAGCACATATATTATGAAAAGCAACTATAATGAT